TTTGGGAATATGTTAAAAGTGATTCCGTTTGAAATGAGCGACGACGCTACCTCTCGATTAAGAATTTTAGAAATTAGTTTTACTTGGGTTGAAAAATAATCGATTTTGGAATTACGAAAATAAAATTTACAAAAAAAAAAAAAAAAAAAAAAAAAAAAAAAAAAAATTGAAAATATGAAAGCTTTCAGATTTTACATTACGCACAAAGGGGCGTTTTTTTAACGTTTTGGTAATCAAGAATCAAGATGTGGTTTTTTGCGGAACTGCCTCTAAACTATAGAAATTACATTACTCATCCAGCATTGGGAGTTTCTTTGTCTATGCTTTTAGATTTGTGCGCAAGTACTACTAAACCGATCCAAGACTTAATCGAGCTTGTTCCATGCTTTCCGATGCACAGACACAGCTCGATATATATATTTTTTTATTTAAAAATACGAAAACACGAACCTTTGCTTCATTTAAAACTTTTTTTTTTTTTTTTTTTCGTAATTGGATGTATACGAGTACGTTTACGAAAATATAAAAGGCGGAGCAATGACTTTTGAGAACACAGTGTGTGTGTGTTATATGCGACACAGCGAAATTAAAAAAATTGGTTATGTTCACATGTGACCCCTTTTAATAAGGTTGCACCAAGTATGCAGTTCAATTAACCAATTATTCAAATTTTTGTTATCTTTCCTGAACTCCTCAACTTCCCCTCTCATTTCCTCGCCAGGATGCTTACTTAAAGTTAAGTGAAGTGAGTATTTAAAAGGGGTGAATCTTGTAGTTCAAACTTTCTACAATTCTTTTATGGGTTCTGCACGTTTTCGCTAGGCAGCGCACGTTTCGGGTCTGCCCTTGCTGTTACGCGAAGTTGCTGATACGCCTTTTTTGGTCATTTAAATAACTATCAGGCCGGGTAGGTTGTCGAGTCAACCTAACTAGCCGATGTGCTAGTTTATCACTACTCTTTAGACTTGAATTTAATGTGTTACGAGCCTTAAAGTTCTATCGCAAGTTCTCGGTGTTATTGTAAAGCAACGTTATTGTGTCGGTGTTATTGTAAGTGTTTAAGTACATGGCTTCCTGATCAGAGTTGATAATAATAAAGGGTTATTTTTACTCTTCTTCTGTGCTGGTATTATTTCACGCCTGTGCGAGAAGTCGTCAGGTTCATTAGTAGGATCTAGATTAGTTGATGTGTCGAAAGAGAGTTAAACCATACAAGTAAATATATTTTGTTTAATTGTGAAGTTTATAGCCGTTTTTATCTCTCAGCAAGGTCTTTCAAATACATCAAGTGATGTTTTGAAATCTCAGGAGGAGTACCGACAATAAATAAATCGTGCTCACTTCATATATCAGCGTATCCTTCAACAAACTTTTTATCTTGCACCATTTGGCAGTTTAACAACCTGTTTCAATTTTTGTTTCCCCGGGCAAAAGATATTTCTAAGAATCTTTGTGAATTGTTTGGAAAACGGCCAGAATTTACAAAGCACAAGAATATCGAAGACAATTTTCGTTTTCCATCTTAATATGTACTTGAACGACAAACTAATTTTTCTCTCCTCGTAGTGTTTGTGTTAAATTTTTTTTTTCATTTCATTCAAAAGAAATAAATGAATGTTTCAGCATTCTTCAATTACTTAACGAAAGACTTTGAATACTTCGAGCATATTTCAGTATACAATTTCCGTCACTGAGAAAAAGCAAGCATCTAAGTAATTTTCTCTTAAGCATCTTAGTAAGCCATTACTTTAAACGCTACGAATTATCCTTGTTTTCTTATTTTACCCTTTTTTTGTTACAATTTTGATTAATTTCTAGCTACACTAATTTTAGAAATTACAATAGGAGCACCGAGAAACAGTACTTGCCTCCTGTAAAATTAATCATCCCTGTTCTTGAGTCAGCAGAGGAATTATTTTGCACTGTTTATGACTATATATATATAAAGAAGAAAGTCTGTTTTTGTTCTCCAATAACTCAATCACTACTATAGCCATCGTCACCAAACTTTCTATAATTCTTTTTCTGGGTCCTGCAAAAGGCCGACGTCCACTCCCCCCCAAAAAGGTAAAATCAGATATATTAATTAAAAACCCCGAAAAACGATCATTGTTCCGAATGCAAGCTGGATATGAAAATCTGCTTTATTTCGAAAGTTGTTGCCACTGCTCGCTTTCAAATCTTAGAGTCTGTTGATAAAAAATTTCTAAGTTTTATGATGAAATAAAAATAGCATTTCCAAACATTAAATACATTATTTCCGATTCCAAAAATTCTTGGGAAGCCATTTCGGCTATCCCCATCTTCGTACGACTTTAATGAGCCGAGATATTAATTAAAAACTCTGAAAACACTCATTTTTGCGCACATTTTTCCGAGTGGCAACAATCTCGCGAATTGGAGATAAAAATGCTTTATTTCGAAAAGTGTTGCTACTGCTCCCTTTTAAATCGTAGAGCTTGTTAATCAAAAATGTGCAAGTTTTACAAAATCTATATATATAAGGAAGAAGGTCTGTGTGGTTGTTTGTTCGCGTTATCGATTTCTCAAAACTTTCTACAATGACCAATTTTTTTGCACGATTCAATTTTTTTGCACGATGACCAATTTTTTTTGTCACATTCAATCGACTAAAATTAAATATAGGTGAAATATTGGATGGAACTTGTGCTTTTACGACCATTTGATTAGAAAGACGAAAATCATTAATAACCGCGTGCCATTATTGCTGAAATAATGAGAGAGAATTAAGTTTATTTTTATATCGAAATTTTTTGTGTGGGTTCCATATCGCATCAAATAGAAAAATATATGGCTATGAATCGTATTTTTTGCACCGTTATTAGAGGAGGATTACAACGATATCATTCTCTCTGTTGCTAGATGTCTTACTCTCAATGTAACTTAACTGCCATCGGGTACTTCCGCTAGTATTGCTATAAATAAAATCCTCAATACTTTACAGATTTTTAAAAATGTTACTTTTATCGTAGAAGATAATTTTATGCCATAATTAGAAAACTTAATTTTTTTAGTCCAAAGGGATTTGAATCCCGAAAAACTATTAGTTTCGTTTTGGCATTTTGCGTCGGACTCATAAATGTTGGTTCACTTTTCAAACTGTTGCCATAAAATGTTAGAGTCCTGCATTATATTTGAAGAAATTAAATAATGAAAATCTGCGTAAAACGTATGTATGTATATTTCTCACATTGTCATAAAATAACGGTACAAATAGAGTCATCGAATTTTGAATAACGTAATCCTCCAACGAATATGAGCATGTGGAAGACCAAATTTGAAATTTGAAATTTGTTTTATGATCGATTTCCTATTTTTTTAAAACTTTGACGAATTTTTGATTAACAAAACTCAAGGATTTCCAAGCGAGCAATGGCAACGTTGTGCAGAAAAAAACATTTTTATCTCCAGCGCGCGTGAGTCTCTGTATCGGAAATTCTAAAGATATGCTCGTTTTAAAAACTATTTTGCGATATTGCTGTTGCACTGGATCTTATGGTTTAAGTGCGAGGAACATGATATTTAATAAAGAAAGGTAACACACAAAATGTTAAAAAAACGGCCCTTTGGACGTAATTTAAAATCTGAAACATTTCAGATTTTTTAATTTTTTTATTATTATTATTATTATTATTTTTTTTTTTTTTTTTACGGCCAGGTGCCAGACGGAGTTTCTATATACTGAATATATATACGGAATTCAGCTGAAATAATTGTTCTTTATGCGCACTTCATTTTTTCAGTTTTCTTCCTTTCGCTCTTATTCAGGAGTAACTTAAAATACACGAATTTTACTTCCAATGTCTTCTCACCAACTATAATGAAATGTTAAGAATAGAACACATGAAATGGTACGATTTTTTATTGCGAACTTCAGACAGCCTGAATTGGGAAAACCCGAAGTGGGACATCACAGCTAAGGGAGCAAGTTTATTTATCACCCACAATAATGAAAAGTTGGGAATGGAAAACCTGAAATGGCACGATTTTTATTGCGAACTTCAGAAAGCCTGAATCGAGAAAGCCCGAAGTGGGACACCACGACTAAGCTGGCGGTTTGAACGAAAGCAAATCAAAAGTGTTAAAAGGGAGCAAGCTTATCATTGAGTTAAATATCTCTGTGAAATAATCCATCCAAAAAGTTAAACTTCGTCTTTAATTTTACCCCATCCATTTTGCAACAACTTTCTTTTCAGTCAGCAGCCACGCGGATGTTCCCCACCACTAGAAGATACTCCAGCGCACAACAAAATGACCATTATTATAAAAGTGGAGCTGCGAGGGAACAGAAGTGTGCGATAGGGTGTTTCAGGCAAAGGGGAGAGATGCCGTTTGCATAGAGTACTGTCCATTAATTATGCATCATTAACGTTACAATGTCCGGAAGAAACATCGCGCAGGCCGGGCATAATGAAGGCCTGCATCATTTATTAGCTCGCATTAATATGGCTTCCCCTGCAGTCCGTTTACGCGGAGGCCACCTTAATTACGAAGCCAGTGGTGTTTTATTAGTTTAAGCTGCGAGAAAGAGAAGTAATGACCATGTGCTACTAAAAGAACGTGGAGGGGGGGTAATTTTTTTTACGCTTACCCACCGTTCGACTATTAAATTATCTTCAAAATGAAATTTTCGTACTAAAAATGCTAGTTTCGGGAAAATAGGAAACGTTAGACTGTTCCTTCGAGGCGCATTATTAAACTTCGAAAAAGGACTTTTTTTAACTGTAACTGTAATTTTGTTTTAATGAGAATTTTCTTATATTTTGGGAATAAAATGTAAATGAAATATTCATGTAAGATAAATTCTTGCTTCCACATTTCAGTTCGAGGCATTGTTAAAAGAGCAAAATTTTTCGCTGTTGCCGCTATTTTTTACCACTTTTCAGCAAAATATATAATATGAAATCAGGTACATATGATAAAATTAATATCTCAATTCCTTGCGTACTTTTTAGTCTACCCTTTTTTGGGGCCCCTACCTTTTTTTGGGAGTCCACAAGTGGTCGAGCGGTAAGTTCGCTGTACACTCATACTTCGACCTGGGTGTGATTCCAGGCAAACGGACTGGCTGAATGGACGCTTTCCTGGTTTCTTCCATGTATAACGTGGATACGAGAGCCTTCGAGTGCTTTATCATAATCAAGTAAACTGAACCAACTATTGATTAAACTTGTAGCGATAGGGTCTGAAAATAAAAAAAAAAAATATATTGGCAGCATTTTAGCCTGTAAATTCTAGTTTACGGGTAACTTTCTTAAACATGTGATTCACCTTACTTCTGTTATTTATGTTCCAACTCATTGTAGCATTATCCATTGCTGTTATGTTCGATCTTTCTCGAAATCCCAGTATTTTGTTCGCCTCCCTACTGTTTCGTTCCTCCGATAACCTTCCTAGGCACTGAGGTCAAGACTCATAAGTGAGGCGCTTCCTCAACTTATGGTTCAATCCGTCAGATGTTGTGAATGTTGTTAAGCTATCCGGAGGTGATTTCTAGCTTAAGAAACTTTCCAAACATGTGATTTCGCCTTGCTTCTGTTATTTACGTTCCATTTCATCGCAGTCTTACCTACTTTTGATGTGTTTGAGCTTTCGAAATCCGAGTCTTTTTGTTCGTCCTCTTTCGTTCCTCCGATGCCCTTCTTGGGTGGTTGGTTAGTTGGTTGACTTTTAATGGCACAAAACCTTCAAGGTTAATATGCGCCAAACGAATGGTGAATAAAATCCAAAAGGCTCAAGCACACTGTATCAGATGAATAGGTGCCACTTTTGGGCACTGCGGTCAAGACTCATTCATGTGAAGTGCCCTTGAAGCTTTAAAAGTTAATTGTAATACTAGCATGAAACTATTTCTTATTGGAATGTAGATTTCTTTTAAAGAAATAATATTGTAATAGTTTAAAATAATTTATCATGACTTCATTTCATTTTTTATGTTTTTATTGTAACCGCGTTCTTCGGAGATGCAATTACTGGCATAATTTTCTTCTGTAAATTTTCACGCAATAAAATTAGTTGAAAAGGGTGAAACTCCAGGAAATCCACCATATTTTTCAGTTCTAAGATACCGCTGAATAATTCTAAGACATTTACTTCAATTTCAGTGCCATAAACGGAGAAAGTGAGCTATTCTATGAAAACAAAACACATTTCGGAATTAGTTTTTTTATTAATTTCGAGTTGTTAAAACAGCACTCCTCTTTAAATTAATAATTTGGCAAACCTTATTGCCCCCCCCCGAAATATTCAGTAATTCAGAATCATCTTCCTTTCTCGAACATAATCGATTTGAAAACGCATTATTTTTCTTTTTATTTTGCTGAAAAAATGAAAAAAGTGCATTTCAGAAATAAAGAAATGCGTCTTTTAATAATGGTAATTTTATTCAGTACATGCAGAATCAGTAATTAAAAAAATCTGCAAAATAAAAAAGTGCAAAAGGACTTGTATTCATAGCCTTAAAAATCTTTGTTAGTCTAAAAGGCGTTAGCACAGAAGAGCTATTAATTTCGTTTTGACATTTTGCGTCGATTCACTATAAATGCCGGTTCACTTTTCAAACTGTTGCCACCAAATATTACAGCCCTGTATTATATTTAAAGAAATTAAATAATGAAGAAGCTGCTCGAACGTATGGTATGTTTCGCGCATTGTGATAAAACAACGGTACCTAGAGCCATCCAGTTTGGAATAACGTAGGCTTCCACCGAAAATGGGCATCTGAAAGTCCAAATTTGGAATTTATTTTATTGTTGATTTCATGTTTTGTAATACTTTAACGAATTTTCGATTAACAAACTCAACGATTTCAAAGCGAACCATGGCAATATCGTACGAAAAAAAAAAAAAAAAAAAAAAAAAAAAAAAAAAAAAAAAAAAAAAAAATATCTCCAGCGCGTGAAACTGTGTATCGGAAATTCTAAAGATAGACTCGTTTTGAAATCATTCTGCGATATTGCTGTTGAACTGAATTTTATGGTTTAAGTTCGAAAAAGGGATATTTTATAAATAAAGGTAACACACAAGACGTTAAAAAAAAAAAAAAAAAAGCCCCTTTGGGCGTAATGTAAAATGTGAAAGTTTTCGGATTTTTTTTCTTTTTAACTCTAATGTTTATCTTACGTTTACGGACCAAATTTCAATAAAAGCTTTATTATTTTTTTCTTAAATCACTTCTTAATACATTTTTGAACAGCCTAAGTGACAAAGGATTTGGAAGTACTTTTTTTAAAATTATCTCACACAGCCGATGGGCAATGACTGAAGTAGAGAGGGTTGCCACTATTTCCTCAAGAAATCTAAAGGCATGGAAAAAAAAAATTCTTCTGATAACTTACCAAAGAGCAAAAGCTCGCAAAATTGGATAAAAGAAATAAAACACCATTTTAATGTGTGTGTTGGGGGAGGGCAGGAGAAACATTATGTTAGTATAAATTTAGGAAAAAAAAAAAAAAAAAAAAAAAAAAAACAGTTTTTAATGATACCTAATAAAATATAACCCAAAACTTCGTACGGCATACCTTTCTATTTATTGAAAACAACGAAACAGACTTCATTTACAAACTATGAAGTGAAAGGAATAGAAAATGGTACTTTATTTTAAAGCTCATTGCTATGTAAAATATAGAATTGGCGAGAGCTGCAAGAGATTTTTTTAATAGTGATTTCAACAATGGCATCTTCAAGCTCAGTTATCTGTAAAATTCCCTCCTGTTAAGAGATACCCAACATTTCTGGGAATTAGATTCATAAATTCCTTTGCCTTAAGAAATTGGTTCCAGCAAATCGTAAGCGGTTTTGAATATTTCCTTTCCAGAACATCGAAATTGCCTTCCATGACTTGGAAACACATGTTCCTAAAAATTCGAAGATATAAATCCTTCCTACCGGCACACAGCCTTCGACAGCCCGTCTGCCACCGCCAAAGCATGACAAAGTGATTCAATACCTAAGCTTCTTTGTCTTGCTTCAAGCTAGCTATCAGTCCGCCCCCCCCCATTTTTATCAGAGAGGTGTTTTTGTTCCTAAAAAGTCCTTATAATCCCCTGTAACTTTGAAACTACGTCGGAAGGGCTATTTCTCTTGCTTAATCTTTATCTGTCAGCGAATCTTCTTTTAGAAAGCCTTTATTTTTTTTTTTTTTTATTCTGGTTGCATAAAATGGTTGAAACTAGCAGCATTTTGCAAACGCCTGCAGCAAACTTTTTGCGGTGACAATCGAATGAGATCAGGAGGAAGACCAGAATTTTGAGGCTTCGTTTTTGGATAAAGATCGCAGAATAAAAGTGAGTGTTCCACCCAAGAAAGTTGTAAGACTTCTACTTAGACTTTAAATTCTTGTGCTATTGTGAAATCGTACGCTTTGTTTAAGTTTTTTTTGATAAACACTTTTTTAAAGCACCAGAGGAGATTTTAATCACGATGGTTACTTTTTGTGCCGATCATTTTCGTGTCCGTATCACTTTTCAAATAATAAGGTGTTGCTATCAAATGTTATCGCCGTGCATTAATTTTAAAGCAAAAAATCTAGCGAATATAAAAAAAAGGGTTGATAACACTTATTAATTTTATCAAAAATCGAACGATATCTCTAGAACACAATGAAAACTTTAAACGAAGAGAAAAAGTTGGTCATTTTAAGTAAATTTTTTCAGGAGATGTTCTTAAAAAAGATTATTGAAAACTACTTGAAGCCATCTATAATCGATCTTCCCCCCCCCGCACCCCACCCTGAAGATTGGTGAGTGGGAAAAAAATTCAGAAAACTTTAGTTTACAGGTAAGGAAAATTAATTTAAATTTGAGTTTTATGCAAATCTTGTAATATTAACTTTCCACCGGGATATTTAATTTTAAAATTTGCGATTTTTGACATCACTTAAAACTTGTTTCGAGGAATCGGTTAATAAAGCTAGAATAATTCGACGAAATAAGTTTAAATGAAGCGCATTAAAATGTGTATAATTTAATAGGCGTAAGAGGAAATCATATAGGTTCCCCGTTATTTATTTTTTTATAATTTATTTTATTTTTTTTTCTTCTCCGACATTAATGGAACTGTAATGTTTCAGTGGGCTCCCAGTCGTCAGACTGTAATCAACACTACTACACTGAAATACTAAAAAGATTTCGTGAAAAAATTAGGGAAAAAGGCCACAATTGTGGAGTGATGGATGGCTGTTGCACCCGTTCACACGACCCTATCTGTCAAGCAGTTTCTGACCAGCAGAAACATGACTGACGGGGTATCCTCCTTATTCACCTGATTTGGCTCCATGCGACTTTTTTTTTAATTTCCTAAAGTTAAATCTTGCTTAAAGGGAAGCAATTTTACCTCAGTTGAAGAACTGTTACCAGCAATGGCAGCACCGAATGCAGAAGTGTGTGAATGCTGAAGGGGACTACTTTGAAGGTGATAATGTCACGGAGAACTAATTCTGTAAATACAAGGATTTATTGAAGTAGTCTCCCTTTTTTTTTTTTTTTTATGTGTGTGTCACTTCTCGTATTTCTATACTATACATTTACAATCTATGTACACTATACATTTTGTTTCACTAATATTAAATACATAAATTAAATTCCCTAATATTAAATATATATATAAATATTAAATACAATAAATTAAAATTACGTATATTAAATACGTAAATAATTACAAATAAAATAATTATTCACTAATATTATTAATATAAATGAGCTAACATTTAATTGAGAAAATGCTAACATTAAGTTACGAATATTACGTAATATTATCAGAAACGAGAAAATATTCGCCTTTTGCCTTCAACAGTTGAGGCTGCTATGTTCTTTCGGCATGTGTTTTGTTTTAAAGAAAACATAATTTAATTTAAAGTTCAGATCTGCATTAACGCACGAGTTGCGTCACTTCCCGAATAAATTGAATGTAAGTGCCGCTAAAGCATATTGAGAATCTTTCAGACGGATGTCCTTCCTGTCTATTGCATTAAATATATTGACGTTTGGGAGCATTGAAGGACAATGTTGATGGTATAAGAATCGTTAACAGCCAAGAACAAAAATAGA